ACCTGCGTGCATCTGCAACGCGAGGTCGCTTGCGCACGAGCGCATGATCCCGGTCTTGTTGCACCGAAGTGCCGTTCAGGACAGGGGATTACTCGTTAATTACTCGTTACGCGCACATCGCGACAGAGAGCGAGACGTGCGGGGAAACTTTCAATGAAATACCGGAATTTCGGAAAACCGAAACGCCGCAATGGTATTTACGCGTGTAATTACTCTGTTTGTCGGAAACACTGCAGAGCCGAAAAACCAAAGCTGTGCATATAGCTCATAATCACATGTATCGTTAAGTATAATGGAAGGGGACTATGGCCACATCAAGGTAATTGTAGACACTCATTAAACCAAATTTAAATCCGATTTGCGGGGTTTCTGTTTTTAGGTTTTCGATTTGCGAAGAGCTATGCAGGACAGGGAATTAATCCTTGATTATTCATTGCGTGTACACTGTGATAGCGCGACGTGGGGAGGGGAATTTCAACAAAATATCGTAATGTCGGAAATTTCCTGGAATTATCTGCAATCGGATTTACGCGTGTAATCACGCCGCTCGCCAAAAATATTTTAACGCCTAAAAATCAAAGCGGTGCATGTAGCTGGTAACCACGTGTATTGTTTAACGCAATGAAGGGAGATTATGGTTATATTTCGGTAATTGCATGTATCATTTTTAAACAAAATCGAATCGCTTCATCGATTTACATTAGCCGGATAGGTTTCGATCAGCCGGATTTTTATTTATTGGGGTTCCGGTTTCTTTTGGAAAGCAGTGGGCAATTTCAAGGAGATGTCGACTCTTTGTAATTCGAGACGGGTGTCTTTTCCCATCGTCGGATGCTGACTCCGCTTCCGGTTTGGTCGTGATTGTCGGAACCAGGAAACGGAAGTGGAGGGAAGTCGAGCAGACTTCGAGTAGGACAAAATCGATGCGTGCGATCACGAACTTGGCAAGAACCCTTGTCTAGTAATTGGCAAGAAATCCACTCGAGGAAACGTTAACCTACATAGGGCGAAACGGGGGAGAGAAAAGGGTGTTTTTGTCTACGAGCTTGATACAATGCCGCGAGGAAGCGCGAAATTTCGCAGCTGGTACCTTCGCCGGGAAATTGGGGTTTAAGGCTATCAAATTTTTAGCCGAAGAGTCTCCGGCAGGAAACTGTGCCGATATCGACCCAGTTTCAGAGGAATTGCCGTCATTTCTGGGAACCGCTTTACTTTTAAAAATGGTGGCCAAAGAGAGGACTCTATAAGGGCTGATTGCACTAAAATTCAAATCCATTCTTCAGGAGACTTTAACGCGTGATCAGAGGTGATCGCCCGATTTTCTGGGTTTACCTAACAGCGGATTTTAAACCTAGAGTTAATACCGTCGGTGTATTTTCACGAACCCGAAATTAACATAATCACCGTCAAGAGATTTTATGCTAATTGCGGTCGGTGCAATTGGGCCAAAGTGTCGTAAATGTGGGGTCGAGGTGTCAGCGGTTCCGTTTCGAACGAGTGACAATTTCCGATATCGATCAGGCGATTGTTCGCCTTCTCGGACATCGATCGCCTCCCCGTCGAAGCGTCGATTGACCGGCGCACTTCGGGGGTAAAAATAATTTCTCCGAGCTGCCTCAACGTGTGATAGTTTTCGCCGGGATATATCGGGGTCTCGTTCGTCGAACTTCCGCCGATCGATGAGCGGGAGACCTCGATTCCGCAGGTCTCGGAAAGCAAAAATGGCGCCGCGCGATCCCATTATTCGGAAAGTAAGAACTCCATCGCGGGGTTGACGCAACTAATGGGTACGTGGGTTTCCATTGATTTAGCAATCAACCCCGGTCTCTGGGAAAACTGGGAGGACTCCGCGACCCTCTTTACGCGTTCTCTTTTCGGCTGCCATTTGTTAGGCAGGTTGACGTTTTCGTTTAATTAAACCGAGGAAAATTCGACTGAACATCGATAGAGTCCGTACAATTGCTCTCTCGAGGATCGAATCGATTCCTTGCGATCGATCGTTCCCCCTTCGAGTTCGGTTGCGTTTAGATTTGGATAAAAACAATCGAATTTTAGGGTCCCGCGATTCGGTCGATCGATCAGCTGATTAGTACATGGCCTGCGTCTTTTTGCCAGGATTTTATTTTTCATCAGTTTTTTTTTTTAAAGGGCCGACTCAAGTATTTTATATCCGACGGAATTAGTCGGAAAATGTGAAAAATCCCCGTCGCAAGGCTGACACGAATAACGACGGAGTACTAGCTCGCTTTTACTGGCAGAAGTCCAATCACGCCGGCTGCCGACGTTGACGTTCACGTCAGACCTCGCTTTGACGTTTGGCAGTCGCTGCAACTGCTTCTCGACAATTAGGTTTGCGGGGCGTACTCTCTGGGGTTTTTTGATAGGATTTTAGAAAGAACTACCTTCGGTTTAAATTGATCCTCACTCCTTTTTCCGAGTTTATGCTAGATGCCGAACTTCAAGAATTAGACGTTTAATGAAGATTTAAGAAATATCCTAGACATTTCTTTGAGTAGTTTCCATGCCGATATTAAATTTTACGAGTTGTCCACACATTTGGTGTATTTTTTAAATGCGCGTTTCGAGCAAATTGTGTGAATCGCGTTAGGCTAGTGAGAGGAATATAACGTTAAATTTATATACTTTTTTATGGAAATCCCGTTATTCTTTGATTTGATTTTATCATAATTATTCAAGTAAATCTATTGTGAGGAATGTTTTACGAATTAACATTGGAGCGTGTTTAACTGTTTCCAAAATGACATTTAATCGAAACTACGCAGTTTTGGAGAGGACTTTGGGACTTGCTCGTAGGATGGATTTATGATTGATAATTCCTCCCACGGAATTATGATAGATGATTAAGTACGGAGATCGGATCTGACCAGGTTTCAGAAATCCGAGCTTCTTGTGCCTGAATCGATCTACTGATTTTACGTTATCTTGCTTTATCACGGATTTCGGAAAACTCGTGAAATTACGTGGCTGACGCAATAAATGAAACGTCTTACAGCATAGAGTTTATCAGTGGAAAAAAAAACATTTCGCCATTTAAATACGATAAGATTGATCCTAAAACATCAAACTTTGAAATGTAATTTTCTGTAAAGAAACATGCATTGAATTATTTAGTACAATTTATTACCACTTAATTTGTCGACCCGCTGAATAGTAGTTCAATAATGCGGCGGTTATTTTGTAGGGACAAACTGTAGTATAAAGTTTGTAAACAGCTGTTAGAACCACGTTTAATTAATTTTAATTGAACTTGTCCTTCTTGAAAAAAGGAAGTATCGTAATGAGATCCCGCCTTACATAGCAAGTGTTTTAATCTCCTTTACCGGGAGCTGAGTAAACTTCGCGAGAACAAGGAAATTTCGAAAAATCCTTACCTTTCATGTCGGAACGTTAAAAGGTTAAACTTCGGAATTCTTTGAGGGGAAAATCGGGAGAATTAACTCCAGTGCCGAGATTGGAAGAAGTGGAAACTCCGAGGAGTTCCGAAGTTGGATACATGAGGAAAGTTTTTCGTATTAAGATGGCTTCTCCGGGCTTTCGCAACATTTGACTTGCTAACGTTTTTTTGAATTCCACCTTTTCCGTGTTTTCCTTTCTCAAGTGCTTGAGAATTAACCCGGATATGAAAAGTGAAAAAAGAAGAATCATCTGGTTTCATACTTCCGTGTGCTTATTACTTTGGAGTACTTCGATCGCTCGAGTTTTTTTCCAAAAGATTTTTGAAAAACTGAGTCCTTTCATGATTTCCATTGCTAGACGATCCGTATCAATAAAGGGATTTCGGTGGAACGTTTTATGAAAGCTTGTCACTTAATCAATTTCCCAATAAGAAAAGATTCTGAAAATGGCTCTTCGAAATCCAACCTTCGGAGGATTGAATATTTGAATCCATCGAGTGAAGCCCGAATAATTAATTCATGCGTCGCTTTAAAAAAGGACCCCACTTCATTCGGAACCCTCTTTAGTCTTGATTACGTTTGTACAGTGTATGTACTAGGGTTCTCGAGCAGTATCCCCATAAACCTTGAAAATATCGAACGGGAGATGAAGCTCAAAATGGAAACGGTGATTTTTTTTTTAAAGTCTTTTTCTGAACATTGTAAAAATTTCCGGAATTCGAGTCGTACTATCCACGGATATGACATGACAAGAGCAGGTCGAGAGGGGAAATTCCCGACCAAGCGGTAAAAAGACAACGAATATTTTTTTATCGTGGCGGTTTTCCGCTCCTTTTCGTTTTTCCGGCTCGCCGGAGCACAATGGGAACAATTGGAGCGTTTGCTACGAGAAGAGCTTTACAGACGAGCTCGAAGTGTTCGCAAGAAAGCTCAGCCCGTACTTCCAATCTGGATCTCTGGACCTGTTTACGCTTCTCTATGAGCGCATTCGCGTGACCCAAACCATTCAATCGGACTGATCACCGCCACCTGTACTTTCCTAGAATAGTGTATTGTGCATCTAGAAGAGAAAATAGGCATTTGTTGGGCACTTGAGAAATTTCATGAGTGAAATGGCCGCAAATGCCTGGTTTGCCATCGGGACGCACCCGACATTTTTTGCCAAATCCGCAAGAAATACGCGACTTTTAATCGCCGATAGAGCGCAGGTTGTGGCCGATTTTCGAATTCCGCCAATTCCAGGGCAGGACTGATTGAAGTTTCCATATGGATATTGTAAAAATGACATTCACGAGACCACTTCCCATATCTATTGCCACGAGATTACGAATCGATTGGTTCATATAAAAGTTATAATCCGCGTCTCATCGATTGCTGCAGCAATAGTCATTGTCAAATGGTTGCACATCCCTCGTGGAAAGAATAGAAATAAACAACGGAAAGACGAAGAAAAGCCAACGCGGAATCGGCGCGAAGAAGGAAGGGAAAACAAAGAAGCCACAGATCGATAATTAAATACGTTTATTAATAGGAATTCCGACGACCGAGCCGAGTAGACTCACTATCGCCATCGTCGAGTTGGGGTCCAGAATGAGAGCGAGGACGAGATAGGGGATCCGTTTACAGTCCAGACTTTTCCTTGATCCAGGACCTGAAGAAGGCGACCTCCGTGTAAACTCCAGGATATCCGGGCTGGGCACATCCGTTGCCCCAGGAGACGACGCCGGCGAGGCGGCCATTGATGGCGAGGGGGCCGCCGGAGTCACCCTGGCAGGCGTCCTTTCCACCCTCGGGGAAGGCGGCGCAGATCTGGCCATTGGGCAGTCCTCCTAAGCCCTTGTAGGCCTTGCTGCAGTCGGCCTTGGAGATGATGGGCACCTGGACTGTCTGTAGAACGGTGGTAGTGCTGCCGCCCTGCGCCTTGGTGCCCCATCCGGTGATGGTGGAGTAGGCTCCTACTTCGGCCTCCTCGTTCTCCTCGTACAGGGGGATGGCCTTGCGGGTGACGTCCAGCTCGAAGGGAGTAGCCAGCTTCATCAGGGCGATGTCGTTGATCGGGGTGCCGTAGGGAGTGCTGCCGTAATCCTCGTGGACGATGACATCGGCGACCCCGTGGAGGGATCCTCCGGCGTTGGAGTGGGTGGATCCGGCACGGACCTTCACCAAGTTTGTGGGGTATCCCACGCAATGCGCCGCCGTGACGACCCAGTTCTCGGCGATGATGGTGCCCCCGCAAAAGGCGAAGCCTGAGATCTGCAGGCTCACCTGGTAAGGCACGTCCTCGATGTTGGCATCGGAGCCACCAACGATGCGCCCAGTCGGGCTCAGGCGGTTCCAGCGCAGAAGCGGGTCGCCTGCGAAACCATGAAATCCCCAATGAATCTCCACTTAACTCCCAGCGAACACTCGCGAAGGCCTAAGTAAACCTCGAGTACGGAACCCGTACATTGAGCGGGAAATTAACTTTCCATTCTAAACGTTCCTTGTTAGAGAAATTCCTTGGGACCAGCGAAATCGATTATGTATGTACCATCGACGTCGCAAGTCAAATGATAATTTTCGATCGAGCGAATATGATTTTATCATTGAAATGTCTTGTTCAAAGTTGGCAGCAACTAGTGAAAATTCAGAGGAAATTGTCATCATCCTTTTTGGATAGAATGTTGGGTTTAATTCCAACCTAATACAGGCAGTTTATTTTATCGATTATAGAAAGTAGAAGTCTGGTTTTCACGATCTTTTTTTTTTCTATAGAAAGTGCTATTTCCTTCAGGATGGACTTGACTAGACTTTTGGCAATTGCGTCCAACTTTCGTGCGCACTTTTAGCAATTGCGTCCAACTTTCGTGCGAACTTTTGGCAATTGCGTCTAAAATTCGTGCAATTAGAAGAATTGGAAAAGCTTTTCGGGGGGTCGACGGATTCAGTTTCGCAGATACTCACCCGAGGCGACTGCCACGAGGACGGCGATTACCAGGCACTTGAACATCTTCGCTCCCAATCTACTACTTGCCTTGCTACCGAAGCTTCCCAATATTTATACGAGACCGGGCGAGCGATTAATAAAATAGATCAGCAATCGGATCTCTAGGTCCCCCTTCCGCCACCCTCCCCAAACCGTCTGTGGGAGGACTTTATCGGTGAAGAAGTGACGCACCGGAGGGACTTTTAATGTTCGAGATTGAGCTCGCGCATTCCTAATCTCACGGAGGCCTACCGTGCATGCCGCGATATCGGAAATATTATTTCTACTATCCACCAGTGATCGATGTGATAAATCCGTCCTGGATAATCTCTTCGTGCGACCTTAGAGTAGACGGTTTGTGCGCAGTTTGGGTTTCTTCGAGATTTACGGCGGTATCGGGACTCGATCGTCGGGGTTTGTCGGCGTTACGCAAGCCAAGAGTTTCGGTTAATAGACGTATGATAATGATTTACGATTTTATCGATCTGTGTTAAGAGGCTGGTTTTCCCTATCGGGACCACTCGAACTAAAAAAGTGCTTTCCCACTTCCTCTTGACGAATCGTAGGTTGAAAAATCTTGCCGGCGAATCTTGGGCCGTTCGAGAGTTTGCGTTCTCGGTTTTCCCTGTTCCCGGAAAGATATCGAGGATGACATAAATATTTGTATTCCGCCGGTGGCCTGGAAAATTCTGAGGAAATCGGAAAACCTCGAGGACGGCTGAGTCGCGCTTCGATTTTTCATCCAAATATTTGCGTTATGCCAAGGGCTTAAAAAGCTGTCCCCTGGAGGGAACGGATTTCCTCACGGGGAATTAGACAGTTTTCCTACGTCAACATACATTGTTTTATTCGGTCGTTTGCATTGTCTCGTGCATTGTGTGGCGTCTCACCAAAAGTTCTCTCGCCGGAAAAGTAATTTCTTCGGGAAATTCACTTTTCACGCGGCGAGTCACGTGCAGATTGTCCATCATTTTCTCTTTTTCCGACCGCTGAGTGCACTTGAACCCAAGACATCGATCCCGTTTTCATTGACAAATCTTATCAGAAAACGGCGTTCAATGTACCGAGTATGTCGGACAGCTCTCGACGGTGTCTTCATGCACTTGATATCGGAGCAGACAGTATCGATTGTTCCCTTCGGATCGAGAGACGGTCACTTGCATCGTCTAAAACCGATGTTATCATATCGGCGTTACATTAATAAATGTTAAAATTAGAGCACAGTTTGCAGCAAACTTCCTTTATCAGATTTACGGTTCGTTCGAGATGAAAATTTTCATCCAATTAGATTCTACTCCGTCTTTCTCCAAATATTAGCAGTTTGAAACTGTTCAGGTGTAATTTATTGTATAAAATGGAGTAACCATTCTATTTTGAGATTTCTGAAGCTCCGATTAAATTCAATTGTTCCGAGGACTTCGAGGTTCTAACGAGAGAAATGAGCTCCGAGCTTCTTAGTCAACTAAGTAAGAGACTGAAATTTCTCCTGGCAAACGGAATAATCATAAGAAAATTCAATGGCTCGATCGAGATCGACAATTTCCGACTTGAATTCAGTCTCGGTTTGCGGAGATCTCGAAGAGTGGTTTCATCGTTTCATCGCCGTTCCGTGACCAGAAAGAATTCTCGATTTCACGTCAAAGAGACAATGGGCACCTTCGGTCGACGCTTTGCGGTCCGTCCTCTTTTTCCGGCCTGTTGGGGTACGCGGAAACCAATCGGAGCGTTTACGGGAACGAGGGTAATTCCGCGGCGGAAGCGCTCGCGGAAAAGCTCGGGGGATAATTCCGCTCGGGAGCTTCTGCGGCTGTTTTTCTGCCCCTCGGGGGCCGCGCTCCAGCGGGCCCAATAATTCAAATCGGAAATATTCGATCGATCCGACTTATCTCGGGCACCGAGGCTGATGGACCGTGGCGAGCTCCCCGGAACTTCGAAATTTGACGCCCTCGCAAATCGAAACACCTTTTTTACCCGACGCTGCAAGATTAGTTTACTTTGAAACCTTTTTCGAAGCCTTTTCAGGCCCACCCGCGACACTTTGATAGCTACCGAGACTTGCGAACTGCTTTTCGTGTTTACGAGTTCAGGAATTTTTGGTTCTCTATCCCGAGAGACCGATCGACTTTCGATTTTACGAAGACGGGATCCTTCAAGTTCGCGGACAGATTTGGGAAACCGATAAGGTTATCAAAGAACCTTTGGGATGTTATCGCCATTTGATCGATCGCTTGAAAACGGCGCGGAATTTCTACTCAGAAAAGGGGAGCCATTTCTCGCTCACGAATAGACGCATGAATTTTCTGTTCGACGTCGTTTAGAATTTCGTTTAACCCTTTCGCTGTTCCCCATATATCGATATTCGGGAGAAAATCATACTTTTATGACTTATGATGTTTCCGTTTCTAACAAGAACACGTTTCGCCCTTTGCTCGTACATCAGACGGACCGAACAACGGAAAATTTACATTTCATACTGACCAATACTTGGTGCGAAACTCTGTCATCTTAATCCTTACATTAAACTCCGCATGAAGTTCTATACGTCCACCCGAGAGTATTTTCTGTAAATTAAAACGTCCTCAATCTCGAGGTAGAAATGGATATGCATTTGGTGCGAGATACTATCGACGTGGGTTCTCTTCGTTCATCTTTCCCGAAAACGAGGAGTGACAAGATTTTCGTTTTTTGCAATCGACGAAGGGAGGATCGAACAAATGATATCAATCGTGACGCTCAAGTATTTCGGCAACACCCGACACGTGTCAGACATGTCGCGTATCGATGCCTGATTGCCGAATACTTTCAATCGTGAAATGTGAAAAATCGAGTGAAATGTGCGAGGCACGATGGATTAGCTAATGTCAGGTACGTGCGGAAATGCGATATCGTTGATCGAGCACGGTGGAGAATCCCAGTGGGATTAGACGTTGATTATTTCTTAGGCTGATTTCGTGTCTTCCTCTATCAGCGCCCCGGATGGTCGGTCGAGCGTGCACATATTTCGGAGTAATATCTCGAAAAGGGATTAAGCCTCTCCTAGATCACTCGATTGGCCTCGCTAATTCTGATATAAATGTCCGAGTATCTAACAAACGCTACGAGTTGTTCGGACCAGCAGGAACGAAGATGATCAAGTGTCTGGTGCTGTCCGCTCTGGTGGTCCTCGCCGTTGGTGAGTGAAATCACGATTTCCGCCCTGATCGAACGATTCATTTCCCAGTTTCCGCTACCCAAGTGATCTCCATTCGACCCTTTGCATCTCGAATCGGTCCCACTTAAATGGAAACGCGAAAGGACGGTCAATAAGGAATTAGAAGTACGGCGAGGAAGGTTGGGGCCGAGAGTCACACCTAGCGCGGTGCGTCAACGCGTCGAGGATCAAAAACCAATCAGAACTATGATGGAAGTCATGCGTGAGATTAAGCGCAGCTCCGATTGGTTTGACATCCATGATGCGATGCCGCGTTCCATGTGACACCCGATGGAGCTTGGGGGATTCCGATCTAATCCTGAATATCTGTGATTAGAAACGGGGGGCGAATCAGATCGCGGCTATTTGCGACGTTTTTGTAAAGGTAACGAAGTCACCCTAACTTCGGCAACGGGATGATAACCGTGTTCGCTTAAATCCTCAAAGGGTTCGTTATCTGACTCCCTGGTAGGCGACGCGAGGCATCAATCGAATCTTCAAGTTTGGCTTCGTCGGCTCGAACTCCGTGTGTAGCTCGATAGCACTTGGCAAATCGTGTAATCGCAACTTGCACATCCTAGGCGAGCCAATCCGAGGTCTGCGACGGATGTCCCCACTGAGTCCCGGGGGACGTATAGTGGGAGGAACGGAAACGACCATCGAGGACGTGCCCTACCAGGTGGTGCTCCAGGTGAATGGAATCTACCTCTGCGGAGGCACCATCATCAGCGACCAATGGATCCTGTCGGCTGCCCATTGCATGGGCTACTCCACTAAACTGCTGCAGGTCCGAGCCGGGTCCGTCCACGAGCAATCTGGAGGCTCTCTCCACGGAGTCGAGGAAGTGATCGTCCACGAGGAGTACTTAATGAACGCCTACAGCGTGCCCGAGAACGACGTGGCCTTGCTTCGCTTGAAGGAGCCATTGGCGCTGGACAGCACCCGCCAGACAATTCCTCTGTATGAAAAAGACGAGGAGGCCAAAGTTGGGGCCTACTCCACCATCACCGGATGGGGAGCCATCACCCAGGGTGGCCCCACATCCTCCGTCTTGCAGACCGTTCAGGTGCCCATCATCTCCAAGGAGAAGTGCAACGAAGCTTACAGGACATTTGGAGGACTCCCTGCAGGCCAGATCTGCGCTGCCTACCCTGAGGGTGGAAAAGATTCTTGCCAGGGTGACTCCGGTGGTCCCCTTGCCATCAATGGTCGTCTTGCCGGGGTGGTATCCTGGGGCAATGGCTGCGCCAGACCTGGGTGGCCTGGTGTCTACACCGAGGTCGCCTCTTATCGAGACTGGATCCATCAGAAATCCGGAATTTAAATGGACCCTTCCTTTGGCTCTCTGGCAACTTCCACGACCCTTAACAATGCAACGTTGGTTCTCGCTGACAACCTTGTGAATTCTTCGCGCACCTTGACCTGGAACCATATCCTTGTGTTCACGTTCTTGTAGATATTGAAATCGAGTTATTGTGGATTTTTTAAGTTGTTCAAATTGTTGAAATAAAGTTGTTTCGTTTACACAAGTATTGTATAGTGATTGGTCCGCTGGTTGGGTTGTTGGTGGAAGAGATGATACGCGATATCAGGGGTTCGTACAGAAGTAAAATGTACCCCATGGATGGGGGGAACCTTGTATTCATTTCGTATTAACATAGAAATGTCAAAATATTGAGATTGTTAGGGAAATGTTGCAAGAAATAATTTGCGTTATTTTAACTTGGGTATTGAGGGAATGTGCGAGCAGAAATTGAGAAAATCCTGGCTGTGGACGTTATTAAAACAGTATACTAAAGTAGTTTGAAATAATTATGGTGATTACTTAGGTCGTCGTACTTCGATCATCTTGTATCCAGATTCAGAGTTGAAAAGTATTCATTTGATTACTGTCGTGACTTACATGGCAGTCGCGCATACATATGCATGTATGAGTATGTATTTGACGAAAAACCCTGCCGAGTTTAGTGATATGTTAATATATATCTGATTGTTGCCCCGAACCTTGCCGTAAAGAGACCTCGATACATACATATCAATTTATGTATATGTATGTATTTGGCGCGAAATCCTACCCGGTCTCGTGACACGCAATTCGCTATCTTTTTAGTGTAATATTTCCTTTGTAGGGCATTATGGATTTCTCACAGAAATATCTGTGCCATCTCCCTTACTACTAGTCCGCTGTACATGCAAATGAACACGTAGGTTATACGTGTCATTATACCTTTGTGTTGCAATCCCTTCTTTAAACAATTTGTCACGCACCCTAATTATTCCTAAATAGAAACTGACGTTTATGAAAATAAATGACAATTTCTCTACTGGCTGTTGCATGCAAATGTGCACGTTGAACGGGAACAACGAAATTTTAGTAATTTTACTACATACCATCTTATATGAACGAATGACCCCGTGAAGTGTTTCATTCCTGGATACATCACGATAATTGAATTCATTTACAGAAACTGGTATTTTTCACCAGTTCTGCAGGGTATTCATGGTGAATTGAAGTATGAAGACCCCCCCCCTCTGCAATGTTAATTATACACAATCACTGTATAATTTTTCAACTTGACGAGATGGCATATTAAGAGTCCCATACAGTCTTTACCATACAATTTCTACCTTCGTTATACAGGAATCGTCACAAATTTTCGAAAATTTCGACTATTTTATAAAGCCCTCCCATTGTTTCCCAGTGATGTGAGCAGTCGATTGTATTGATCGCGTTTTTGCCCGTCTCATCGAATACATAAAATATGAGAAAAAATCCTACGTTTCCCCTTTTCAGGAAAAGGGTCGAAGGGACTTATTGAGAATAGTGCGGATGTCAATCGTGTCACCTGAGTGTTTCGACAGCTCCTGCCACGTGTCGAGCACGTTGTCACGCATCGATGTCCGATCGTCGAATACGCTCAATCGTAAGTCAAATGTCCAAGGTGCGGTGGAAGTAAGTGATGCCGGATAAGCACGGAAGCTCGATATCGGACATCAGGTCTTAATAGAGATCTGGCTCCGATTCCTCTCATCGAAAGTGTCCCAACGCGACCTTCTTTATCAGGACGACCGGAACAATGGCCGAGACGAGGGCGGAGATTTCGGTTCAATATCTCGGAACGGGATCAAGATGTTGCAACGATCTCCGCCGCGATTGCTCCATTATTTACCGTATAAATACTTCCGTACATCCTCCGACTTGACAAGTTGCTCACAGCAAGAGAAACGATGATCAAGTGCCTGGTACTGACCACCCTGGCGGTCCTCGCCGCTGGTAAGTTAATCAGAGATCATCTCATGCATCATGCAATCGACTTCTAACTCTAAGTGCATCTTATAAAATACATTCATCGGATCAATCGAAGTTCTTCCCAAAGAAACCCAAGTGAAATTCGGTACGCCGCATGAAAAAGTTAAAATGCATCGAATCTTTGGTACTTTACACTTCATTTTGCGGGAACTCGACGCAACATTTAAAACGGAACGTCGTAAACGTCGCGTAAAAAGGAAACATTACCGAGAAGGAGCTCGTAGGATTCTATAACGCGCACTTACGCTCGTGACGTCTGCACAGGGAAGAACGCAGTTTATGGACGTAATTATCGGGTAATTTATAACGTTCCGTCGTTGCTGAGACGCACAAGATGGACGTTTCCGAGAAAACGCGCATTTTAAGAAGACGTGGAAATGGGATTGGTCAGTTTTACCAAGCCACTCGGTTGTAGATTTCCTAATACCACTCATTGGGACAATTAATCCCGTGACTCCAGGTTCAGGGTCATTTATTTAATTCTTTACCGCAAATTTGCATGAAATAATGATATTTCGGAAGGAGCCATGGACTCTGACATAGCGTGGGAAATGTGGAAGCCTCATGAATAAACTGCGTATATAAGCTAATATTTGATTGAATAAACTATCCTACATAGAAAAACTGCAGCTTAAAGGAAACAGTATCAAGGGCCGAAAAGTGAAACAACGACAACACCAACATAATGGCATTTTTAAATCTCAGGCGACCCGATTCCATCCCTGGTCCCGCTGTTCCCGCTGAGTCCTGGAGGACGCATCGTGGGAGGAACGGATGCAAGTATCGAGGATGTGCCTTACCAGGTGACTCTCCAGCTGTCCGGGTTCTCCTTCTGCGGGGGAACCATCGTTGCCAATCAATGGGTCCTATCAGCCGCCCATTGCATGGGCTACCCCACAAGCATGGTGAAGGTCCGGGCCGGATCGGCTTACACGGCATCCGGAGGCTCCTTGCACGCAGTCGAGAAGGTGATCGTCCACGAGAAGTACGGGACCACCCCCTACGGAGTGCCCAAGAACGACGTAGCCCTGATGCGTCTGAAGGAACCTCTGGAGCTGGACAACACCCGCAAGGCGATTTCCCTGTTCGAGCAGAACGAGGAGGCCGAGGTCGGAGCCTATTCCGTCATCACCGGGTGGGGAGTGACCAGCCAGGGTGGCAGTTCCCCGTCGGTTCTGCAGACCGTCCAGGTACCCATCGTCTCCAAGAAGAAGTGCAGCGAGGCTTACTCGAGATATGGAGGCATCCCTCCTGGCCAGATCTGCGCCGCCTACCCAGAGGGTGGAAAGGACGCCTGCCAGGGTGACTCCGGTGGTCCCCTCGCCATCAATGGCCGCCTTGCTGGTATCGTCTCATGGGGAAATGGATGCGCCAAACCTGGATGGCCTGGTGTCTACACCGAGGTCGCCTCTTACCGAGACTGGATTCTGGAGAACTCCGGAATATAAGCTCCCAGGAGCTGATGCTCCATCTCGACTGATACCTTCCCAACTTGTGATGATTGCCGGTGTCGGCTGTGGCTGGCAGGCGGCTGCTCCTAGACATGTTACGTTTCTAGCTTTAATACCGTTTATACTCTTGTTGTTGTAGTTGTTTAATAAAGGTGTTCCATTGTTAGAGTGAGTCTTTTGGCGACCCCCTGAGAAGGTTTGGCTCTCTGTAAGGAGAGGGAGGGCTGATGGTCTCGGGTGCTCCGCTTATTGTAGAAGCATGAATTATTGGATAGAAACGGTTTTGACACGAGGAGAATGTTGCGAATCGTTTAAGTAGGGTATGCGAATGATTTATGAGAATTGATGCGGTTTATGTAGCCTTTTTCTTGTATATAGTCTGTCTGGGTTTCTTACTCCAAGGAGCTTCGCAGAAAGTCGAGGAGATGCTTAGAGACGCGATCTTTGTCTTATTGGTGGTTTCTGTTAATGGTGAGTTGTACCCTTGGCATTTTCTTGAACCAAGATTCGACGAAGCAATAAACGTTTGCTGATTGTCTTCAAGCATTGGGCCATACGTGTGCCTAATTGCTGTTGTGGGGATATATTTTAAATTGTTTCAAGGACAGAAGCACAGATCCAGAATCCAAAAAACTTGGAAAATGGAAACATTGTCACCTAATCAAGCCACAAATGAGCAAAATCAATTCTCTGTTTCCAAGCACCAGCAGAATCAATTTCAATCCCTGCCGAGCGATGGATGTCGAACAGGGGACGAATCGTTGGAGGGTCGAACATTGTGATAGAAGAAGCACCTTATCAGGTGCTGTTGCTGAAGGCCCAGACTCCATTCTGTGGGGGAACCATCATCTCGAAGGAGTGGATCGTTACGGCCGCACATTGCATGGCTCGTGCATCCAACAATATGGTGATTCGTGCCGGATCTTCGTATTCGAAACGTGGGGGCTCTACACATGGGATCAGGGAAACAATTATTCACGAAGGGTTCCACGTCAACGGATATGGAGTTAACGTGGACGACATCTGCTTGGTGCGACTGAACACCCCTCTGAGCCTGGATAGTACCAGAAGACCCATCGCCATGTTCGGGAGATGGGAAAGGATTTGGCCTGGAGCTTTTGGCGTCGTCAGTGGATGGGGTAATCTCGAAGAGCGAGGATCCTCCTCGGAAGTCCTGCGGATGGTCCAGGTACCCGTTCTCTCGAAGAGGTTCTGCAATCGAGCTTATTCCTTCCTCCAAGGGATCACAGTCGGACAAATCTGCGCTGGATTCAGTGAAGGAGGGAAAGATGCTTGTCAAGGTGATTCCGGTGGTCCTCTTGTTGTTGGTGGTCGTCTCGCTGGGGTCGTCTCCTGGGGGAAAGGATGTGGTCGACGTCGACTTCCTGGGGTCTATTCCGAAATCGCGTATTATAGAGATTGGATTAAGCAAAAGTCTGGAGTGTGACATCTATGAAAATGAATTATATCGAATTTTGGAATACATGTTTTATTGTGGTAGATAATAAGCACCTTGCTCTATACAGACGTCGGAATTGAACTCGTCTATTACGATATGTTCAACTGGGCAAAATGTAAATACTCTCGAATGTACAATTGTTAGTACCTAAATTTTGTAATCGTAACTCCAATTCATGAATAAAAAGTTGATTAAGGAAGAAGATTTAGTAGTACTTGTAGATTCGAACAAGCAGCTCCTTAACGTGTCATCCGTCAATTCTGGGGGCTAATGTATACGTTGACGACGACAAACGGTGATGACGGATTAATGAATTGCAAGAATCCGACAAAAACATTTACAGAACGGTTTGATCGCTTTGGGATAAATGAGAAATGCCTCACCAGATGTTGATGAGTGCTTTAAAGGCCTCAAACGTGTTCGGATGCTCTTGCCAGCTCATTTTGTCAACCAGTTAATATGTCATCGCCTGTGAGCCACTCACTGTCAAACGTTGACATCTTGCCAAGTACTTAGTCAATGTATAAACGTATTGCGACTGTTTTTGTACTTTACGCTAGCTGTTCGTTAAAGTTACAAATTAAAGATACTTGAGAATAAAGTCAACAGAGTTGGTGTTGGGTAAAATTTCAGTACAGAATTCAAAAGATGTACATTTTTAACTTTTTTAAAGTTTATTTTTGTATAGTTCTAATTCTAGAAATGATTCATAGTAGCTATAAGTAAATAATTTTTGGATTGGATTTTAATTTGAGGAATAGATGGTCTTCATCGTTAGAACTTGAAACGCTGAGACATTTTTTTCGCGCTTAGGCACTTTGGCAAGCACCTGAGACAACGAGCTACTATCGATCGGTTTTTATTGACTTGAAAACTGCTTGACCTCGTTTGTTGTCTTCAAACTAGCAATATATTTCCACGGTGTAAAAATGTCAGCACAAAATTTTAAGATTTTTCCGAACGATATTGCAGTAAGAATGCCATAAAGTTATCTTAACTTGAGTTAAACTTCGATACGTGTATAACGTAAATTATGAGGGGCATTAAATAAGGAATATTTACGATTGCTAATAATTCTTTCTTCTTATTTGAAAGTTTAGAGTGGTCTCCGAGGTTTTAAAACATGCTCGAAAAAGCGCGAAACTGCTCGATTTGAAAATTATATCTACCGAGGAGAACGAGACAGAGGATGAGTAAATAGTAAATGGTCACCGAGTAGAGATCAAGCTTCGTTTAAAACAATTTGAAAATGACAATGGTCAGGAAGGAAAGGGGTAAGGGGATGACTTTACGCCTTAAATGGCATTTTTAATATGCAATTTCCAATTGTTTAGTTATGCCAGGTTGAAACCGACCCCGCAGTATATTCCTTTAGTAATAAATTCTAGAAACCCGTCACATATTATTTTTTATTTTTCCTTCCAAGATTAACATTCGTTACGTTATTACGAACTGAAAAGTGGGGCATTTTGAGTTGCCGATTTTAGTATAAATAGTGTCGCGGAATCCTTGTTTGAGCAACTTGTTCACAGAGAGAACAGCAGAAATGTTGAAGAGTCTCGTATTCCCAATATTGGCGGTTCTCGTCGCCGGTAAGTAACATCAAGGATAAAAGATGAATTTTATTAGCCAATTGGTTCGTATTATCTATTTAAAATCCCAGGTTGGTTCAAAGTATTCTGGGCAATGTAAAAAAAATTTTTCATCAGGAGAATCAGCCCCACCCGGGACCAACAAATTGGAGACCTCGGTTCCTGCTGATCGTTCGGCTTTTGGATCACCAGCACCGATTGAGACTGTTCCCCATCAGGTGTTTGTTAGTAGTAAGGGATTAGACTGCGGTGGTAGTATCATTTCCGAAGAATGGATCCTCACGGCAGCCCACTGCATCGAGGATCTCAAAACAGTTGATAAGGACATGTCCATCCGGGCCGGTTCGACACACTGGGGAAGTGGCGGACAGGTCGTCGGCGTCCAGGAGGCGATACCTCACGAGAAGTATCTGGAATATGTTCAGAATGAAGAAAAGAAATACCTGTACGATATCGCTTTGCTCCGGCTGAAGAGTCCTCTTCAGGTAGGGCCCACCTGCAAGCCAATTACTCTGTTCGATAAGGATGAAAAAATCGCAGATTATTCCGACGCGTGTATCAGCGGATGGGGATTAACCGAGGACAGTAAGGTGCAAGACGTTCTTAATCTCGCTCATTTGCAAGTTCTTCCTGTGGATGATTGCATGGAGTCGGCCGAACCGGCGATGGCCAGAGGACTTAGATTTTGCGCCACAGATAAGGAACAACCAATGGCTGGGTGTAATGGTGATTCAGGGGGTCCTGTGGTTGTCGATGGACGTTTAGCTGGGGTCATTTCTTTGGGCTCCCAGTTATGTAATCATACTGCTGATGGCGTTTCTACTGTCAGCATGTCGGTCGCGCATTACCGCGACTGGATCAAGGAAAAATGCAACGTGTGAACGAGTTACAGAATCGACTTTGCTCTCCTTATCACCTTGGATAGTCCAAGATGGTCTAACGTGCTCGATTCTTCTGCATACAACTCAAGTATGCTCTAACAATAAGGGTGTCGATAATGTATCAAAGCTTAAATAAAGTAATTGCAGCAATAGAAGTCCGTTCTAGTTACGAATGCGTTCTACTCCGAAAGGAGATTAAAGTAACCTTCCCTTCAGCTCTTTCCATCTGCGCATAAATCTGATTATAAATACATCTGGTAAATTTTGCCATTCCGTTTGATCTCTTAACTGGGGTAAATGTCGTATCTTTGATAAACGTGGCGAGGGAAGATTTTAAATTAATGCGGCACAATTGCGTAGGAAGGTTCGGATGTTTCCTTGCGATTCAAGAGCCACGGCTTTGGAATTCCTCAGTTCCGTAATTTTCGTGAGTAAAGGTACCGAGTAATACAATTATCTATGACACACAAGGAAGAATTTCCAATAAGCTTACCCGTGCACTCGATTTGCGTGTAGTGCCCTAAGTTGCTAGACACGGTACGCTCAATAAGCGGGATCAATAAACCATCTCTATTGGGACGAAGAAAATCGCTTTGAAACCTTAAGCGTTTACTTATACTTTGTATCCGGCACTTACGTACGTACGTACAAGGGTTGCCAGCAATACAAGGAAAGTGCTTTCACAGCTACGCGGAGTGTTTTAAAATATTGGCCGCATGTACTCATTATTTCTTATCTGGTATTTATTATTTTTCTGCGGCTAGCTAGGCCTCACAGTCCTGATGCAATTTGCATAATTGAGTGCTTAGAAACTTGCACGACGAAGGCCTCGTACGGTCATTAATTATGCACGGAAGACGTGCAACTTCGAGAATTACGTTCGGGAAAAATCGGAGAATTTTTCAAAAAGAGAATAAAAATAGCCAGTCGAGAAGTTTATCCGGTTATTTAATCACGGTTAATTCCGAGGATCTTTGACATAGAAACTTAGATTTCTCTCATGAGGAAGGACTTACATTTTCAGATAAATGTAGGATTTTTTTGTAAAACCCAAACGAAAGGGAAATATAGAGACAGAGTCTAGGAGGGGTCAAGTGGAAAGGACGAGGGGTTGTCCAGGGAGTTTAAATTTCAACCCTGGCTGTGGTCCAGGGGTATGTGACCCCGGTGCAAATGTTTGGGGATTCCGATAGGATGCAGTCCTTCCCTCGGGAGATGACAACGATCATCCCAGGGACGTTCCTGATCCCACCTGAAATATTCAGACCCAAGCTGGGGAAAATTGTTCCATGTCCCTCTCAAAATAAAACAAAAACTAATTTCGGGTTTCCAAAAATCCCACCCCATTATTAATCTCGTTGGTTCAATAAATAGATTTATTAAATCTGCAGTGTTTAGAGAAACAACTTTATGCTTCCATGCATCGAGAGAGTTTCAGGAAAGGTTCCTGATTGCGCACATAAAAGTGACATTTGAGGTTCAGAGTTGCCTAATAAAGCAGGGCATATATTCGTCAGTTCTTTCGAAAAATGGAGAAAAGGGGTTTCAGGAGCGAATAAGAGTCCCGTCTTAAATCCTGAGTCTGGCTGGGGTCCAAAATCTATAGCGCACGACCTCGGCGAAGATTCAGGGGGTCGTAGAGGGGGGATACTTTTCTAATTCCCTTAAGACATCCCTTTGTACTCCGCAAGAAGACCGCTAGAATGGTCCTACGGTTACCTGCTTCGGGCTAGTCCACCTATTCCTGAAGAAGGTCCTTGTCCTTTCGAGAGCTTCTCTCGCAAACTTGCTCGGAGACTGCGGATGTCCGAGACATCGTCCCAGCCACGTATTTATTCATTTATTTCAACATCAGCGATAATATCAATGAAGATGGCTGCCTCATTCAAAAGAGTACCCGAAAATGGCGACCCACCCACGAGACCATATCCACCCCAAGCAGGATCCCTTCACCTCCCGCTTCAAGGTCAAGAACCACAATCATTCCCACATTATATACAAGATAAAGAACCCCAGGAACAAAATCCACATTCACTTAATAATAAAAAACAATTTTATTTACAAAGGGACGACACAAGCGTAAAAAAACAAATAGAAGAGAGCCTAAGGATGGGACGAGGAGATTCGAGCTCGGTCGTTTAGATTCCGGAGTTCCTGGCGATCCAGGACCTGTAGTAGGCGACCTCCGAGTAGACTCCAGGGTATCCAGGAATGGCGCATCCATTCCCCCAGGACACCACCCCAGCCAGTCGTTTGGCGACGACTAGAGGACCGCCGGAGTCGCCCTGGCAGGCGTCCTGGCCTCCATCGGGATAAGCTGCGCAGATCTGGCCCTCGGGAAGACCTCTTTGGCTCGAATAGGCCTCCTTGCAGTCCTGTTTCGAGATTATCGGCACGTTCACCGTGTGCAGGATGTCGCTGCCCTGGCCGTCTATGGACGTCACTCCCCACCCGGTGATGACGGAGTTGGCCCCATCTTCCACCTCCTCGTTCAGGTTGTACAACGAAATCGGCCTGCGAGTGCTGTCGAAGGTGAAGGGGGTCTTCACCTTGACGAGGGCGATGTCGTGCTCGGGGATGCCATCAGCGTCTATCTTGTAGTCCTCGTGGATGATCACCTTAGCCAAGGCGTGCTTGGTGCCTCCGTTGTTGGCGCGGTTCGACCCGGCTCTGAGCGTGTACATAAATTTCGGATAACCCATGCAGTGTGCAGCGGTTACGACCCATTCTCGGGAGATGATGCTCCCTCCGCAGGTGGACATGCCCGATACCATGAAGACCACTTGGTAGGGGACTTCCTCGATGGACACCTCGGTTCCGCCGACGATCTTCCCCTGAGGACTCTTCGGGCTCGACCTCGACACCCATGGGATTGGGTCGGCTGTAAAGAGATCGAATTGGAGAACGCTTGCTTGCACACATGACGAAGAGGGGTGGAAGATGATGTTCCCCTCTGGGGACGTGACCTACCCTACTAGGATGCAGTAATCTAAGCAGAGATAGCTAGATGAGCCAAATCGAATTCTGGGAGACGTCGGCGTCAAATGTAGCGTTCTCAGGTACCGCGAAGTAACACTGTCCACGTGTAACACCGAACTATGTTGTGTAGTTCTACCCACGACGGTGTAAAGTCATGAAAATGGTGTGTAAACACCATGTATTGGGTACTTTACTAGAATTAAATTTTTTCCTCGTGTTGCATTGAATTCTGGGGACATCATCTTTATAAAATGTCGGTCTTAGATACCATCAAGGTATTCGGGTGTTTCATTGAACTGGGTCCTGTAGTTCTAACCACGAGGGTGTAATGTGGCGCAAAGTAGGGAAAATGACGTATTAGTGGCTTCTATTGGGTAATTTATTGGAATGGTCGTTTTCGCTCATGTGATATCCACTGTCAAAGATAGCAGGGTTTGCTGTTTATGTTTACTACGTACCAGCTGCGATGGTGACAAGTGCCGCGATGACAAGAAGCTTCGACATCTTGGTCGTTCGACAGCGGATTCCGTATTGGTTTAGCTGGATACCTAATGAGATATTTATATCAGAGCCTCGGGAAGTTGATACGCGAACTCCCGTCCTAATCGAGGCTGATAATCTCCACCTTCGTTGACATGTGCTGCTGCCGATTATCGACTCTAAGAATTTAGCGTACGTTATCGCACTCCCACTTTTTCCTCCCTCTCCTACCCTAAGGAAAATCCAGATAATCCTGACTTTATCGATCCGGCTTAAACGAGGTCGTAACGTTTCGACAAAGTGCGCAATTAGGTGAGTGCGTGCTCCCGGTTATCGCGGGACAAGCTTCAGATTTCTCGCGATAAACTCGCGTCGGCGTTAACAAGGCTCAACGATACGCCGATGAATTACGACGAATCGCGTTGACATCGAGTATCTTTCGGCGGCGCTAAAAAGAGAATCGCCATCTGATAAGTCGCTCGCTGGAGTGATTCGAAATTGAACTTCTGGGATTTCCAGGCATAAAGTGCAAGGAAATCACCGCAGGTGCAGTACCTGTCGTCTTATCGTTAAATTTAACGAGCGTACCCGATTGGATTCGTCCCAAAAAAAATAATAGGTCTCTTTGAAACGTCATCGCGAATATTCGTCCAGGTTATCAGCCGAAAATTCGAAATTCTCCCTCGGGTCCATCATCGAACTTTTCCCCGACATATTCCATTTTTCTCTCGGATCCTGAGAGCAAACTCCTCGATTTATGGGCATCGATGAATTTTCCCTGATAAATATTCATTATAAACTGTGGACGGTCTTTCTCGCTGTTTAAATTACCGCGTTCAGCCGTACCAAGGCACTTTTCACGGAGATGGGTTGCGAAATGGCGCAAACGAATGTGCACTCCGAGAAGAGGTAACTTTACCATTAACGAGCCGAAATGTTTCTCTCGGTGCGGAGTTGTGTTCGTCTAGGTCGGATTTACGACATCAGCAGTCGTTCCGGTTCCGCCCTCGGTTGAGGAAGTTGAGGAGGCGAAGCTATGCGTGTTCTTAGCACGAGGATTAACCCGGCCTTCGGCGGAAATTTTCTACTCAACCGGAGCAAGGGGTTCATAACTTATTCCCTTTCCGGCATAAATGGAGAATATCAAAGACGAGATGCATCCCCGTGGAAAGCCGAAGCCCAGCGAGGTGGACTTCCGGGGATCGGAGAGACTTTTCCGGAAGTCGCTTACGTAAAGAGTCTTAGAGTTCTATTCAGCGCGCAAAGTGCGTGGCAGAATCGCAACTGGGACGCATCTTTGTATCATATTCAACGAAAGAGGAGGCAGAAAGGGGAAGAGACGGGGCGAAACCTCCTCGTTTATTGTCCCTGACGTAAATGCGACGGAAAGGAGAGGACCAAACGAGGTAGAAAATGGGAAAAGTGTCGCGCAAAGGAAGAGGACCAAGAGGACCGATAAGACAGGGTAATCCATTCCTGCTCGGATGGGCTTAACCGTGTGGTTAATCGAGTCTATCGCGTAAATCTTCATATCTTATTCCCGTATCAGGAATGGGAGACGGGAAATGGAAAGCGAATGCATTGTAGAGAATCATCCCGACGGCGATTCGGTCAGAAGTGGTTAAAGGATCCTAGTCAAACGTAATTGTACGTACTAGGGAACATATTTATACTATACATGCGGTTACAAGGATACATTACTATCCATACATCACTGCATTACATAATACATTAAATATGATATGAAAAATGATCCAATCGAGGCACCACCCAGGAATATCAACCCTTATAGATTGAACTGACCTATCACAACAGTACGGATAACAGTTTCCGACGCACGATAGCAGGATTCTTTGTTCCCTTGTTCGCGGACTTGCATCTCATAGGTTCCGGGCAGATGGAGCACACTCGCCGGGGTGATATTTATCTCTTACCGGGCGGGTAATTACCAGAAATTACCGGGGGTAATTTCATAGTCAGCAGGGGAGCCTGGTTCTCGCGGGAAGCGAGAATAACCCAGTTCACCACCCGGGGCGCTTTCTTTTCCGCGGCTCAAGGCAAACCCGGGCCGACACCTTTTTCTTCCTTTTCTTCCGGATCCTCTTCTTCTATGCCGGCCACATAACGTCCCGCGTATGTACAGCCCCCTACGTGTGAGCAGATGTACATGTCGAGAGGGTGTCTACGGGGATGGCGACACACAGGGGGCCGGAAAGAGGGGTACGTACTCGTGCACGTAGACTCGCGCACTCGCGCGAGTACTTGCGAGGGGTGGTCTCCGTAACTGGTCCAATTCACGGACACCACCTCGAGTACCTCCACGGTTACACGAAAATACACAGAGAGGCACGCATACCCTCGAGGCTAAAGTTCGCCAGGTGAGGTCGTTACCCTGGCTAAAAACAGAGAAGGGAGTTGGCGACGTGCTCGGGGTCTCGATATTTCCAGACCCGCCGGAATTCTCCTCCGATTCGATCGAAGCACGAATTCCTATATCCTTAACAGTTTTCTTGTAACGTGCACCCAAGTGAAAAAGAGAGATACATACGTCTCGAGTGATATCCGGGTGGAGAGAACTCGAGCAGAAATTTTAGCCGTTTCGAGCCTGAGAACTTTTGGTTTGATTTTACTCATTAAGTTCTGCATCCGATCTTGTACGTCGTATCTAATGGAAATTGGACGCATATCCGATTTTCCTCCTCTCCGAGCACCGTGCCAAGTGAATTTTAATATCTTGCGATATACAGGGTACGCTAAATTCGGAGTAGATAGGACATTCCGAGGATCATACGTGGCCTCTTGTTCTGGGGCGTACGTTGTGTGGGGGTCCAAGGGTGCGCTTCCTCCGCGCCTCCACCTAGTGCGCCTCCTCCAGCGCCTCCACCTAGTGCGGCGACTCCAAGTGGGGGACGCGTTTGGCATTCAGGAACAAGACCTCCGAAACAGGATTAACGTCGACATCTCAGACCGCGTGACGCCGGAGGTCCTGGCATAACCAGGAACATCGGCAGGGAGGATATCGTTACAGCGACCTCGTCTGACCCGACACAGATGCGAGGGGTGGTTCTCCCTCTCTCACGTTATCTCTCTCTCTCTCTTTCGTGTCATATCTCTCCGTCCCTCCGCTTCCTTCCTCTCGTTCCGTCCCTTTCCATCTATCTCTTTCTATCTGTCTTCCTCTCTCATTCGCGCCATCCTTTTCTATCCATCTCTATTTGTCCTGCTCTTCCTCCTTCTCACGTGCCATCCCTCTCTGTTTTCCCTTTCCCTCCTCGCGCGCTATCCTTTTCCATCCATCACTCTCTATTCTCTCTCTTCCTCCCTCGTGCTATCCTGTTCCATCCGTCTCTCTCTCTCTCTTTGGTCTCCTTCTTCCTTCCTCTTGCTATCCCGTTCCACCCGTATCTCTCTTTCTCCCTTACCTACTCCGCATAGTGACGTCAGAAGAACGAGTCGGGGGGTGGGGGTTGCGACCGGGACATTACTACTGATTCGGTTATTCCTGTTCCGGTTCAGGAAACTCTGGGACGAAAAGGAGGAGCAGGGCGAGAAGGATCCATTGCCGAATTTTCGGTCCTAGCAAGAATTAACTCCGCGTAATCTCGGAAAGGGTGTTGACACCCTATTCGGCTAACATCGGGGGAGGAATTTTCTGACAAAGTTTCCTAATGTTAAGTTCCTAACTTCCAGAAAGCTTAGATAGGGGGCTATTAATGCGATATTGTGGGGGTAATGGAAAAGAAAGTTTATTAAGCTTAGTTAAATTAAAGTAGGCGGGGTAATTGATGAAATGGGATTGACATTGATGTTTGAGATTTATTTTAAGAAAGCCTATCGGCAGTGTTTGTTTATGTTGAATCCGCGTATATTTATGTTTCTTCCTCGAATTGTCGCGAACGTTCAGTCGATCGAAATGTCTTATCTGGCCATTAGTTGATTTCAGAAAATTGGTTTTATGTAATCGGTAGATCGCTGCTTGCATGACTTTTTATCGATTTTATCGCCCGACGTTGAATTTTTTGCGCATCACGGGACGAAATTGAATCGATCTTCGATATGGAATTATGACGGACTCTTTCGATAAGGACAATCTTCGCGTTTGCCGTTGTAAATTTATAAATATAAGTATCTTGTAGGTCTTTGTTGCCATTTTGTATGCTGACATTTCTTCGCGTGTATTTTCGAATTGGATTTCATGCCTGCATTGAGCTGCTGCGACCGAGTTAACATTTCCTTTTTAACAAAAATATATGTACGAAGTGTGTAATTGTTGATTGTCGAGTTGGATAAAAGTCAGTGATCCGGAAAAGCAATCTCTCTGTGACACGACAATTACGTCTCCGAAATGTGCAAGTGCATTTCGCGTCGTGTAACGCGGAAATGGAGTTGCTTATGACGTTTTACGATGTGTTAAAGCACAAGATTTGCAACATAAAAATGTTACGTGGCGTCAATGGCACAAGGCTGTTAAAATATGTTACTCTCACACTCCCGTAAGGTAACTATTACGACGTTTACCCCCCCGTGACATAAACGTGCATTTAACGCGGCATAACCTAGGCCAACGTCGAACACTTTATGCCCGCCAAATGAAGGTCAAAATAAAGTGTAAATAGCTCGACACGGACAATTGACAATTATATCGCTCGTCTGAATCCCCATACAATTATTTGTACCTTCATAACCAGTCCACAGTCCCTTAGAAATGCCTTAAAATTTAATCGTAATTAGACCTCAAAACCAACTTATAGCGTCCACATAATTTAAGTTTCCGGGCTAAAACCAGTGGCTAATTAAATGGGCTTTAATTAGTCAAAGCTCTTTAATATCTAGCACGTCGGACGAAGAAGCGAGTTAATTTGCATAACGCGAAAGCACGGGGCGACTCAATGACTCCTCGTTAAATAGGGAAAAGTAACGAGGGCTCAATTTCTATTCGTATTGAGGATTTCGGGCATCTTGTTATGTAGAGTAGTCTTCATTGTGCGTAATGACGACCTCCGAAAAAAAAATAAAAATTGTTGCAAAGAGAGAATCGGTTTCGAGGGATGTTCCCTGAGTTCACGGAA